TAAAAGGAAGAGAGAGTGTGTTTTTAATATTTATTTATTCAACTGATATTCTATTTGTATCAAGGATGATGATGCTTTAGTAGTGAATTACCATTTCTCCTTATTTTATTTAGATACAAGCCCTTGTATTATATCATTATTTCAATTAAATCCCGTTTTGTTTTCGTTGGTCACTTGCAATCCAACTCTTTATATACTCGCACTCCTTCGTTTGTTTTAAAAGTTGCATTAGCTCCAATTTTCTCGGAAAATTTTTCGTCGATTCTTCTTTCTTATTGTCTTGGGTTCTTGATCTTTAACGAGAACGCTCTGTGGAACACAAGAAATTTGATAATCGGAAACTTCTTTTCTCGAGAAAATCGAAGAGGATTCTCTCGTCATGTGGTGTCGCGAGGATCGTTGTGCTCCGGGTGGAGGTTTCTGGACACCACCACCGACATGGAACAAGACGAGAAGAGTTTACACGGCGATGCCAATGTCGGAGAGAAAACGAACATCTTCGTTCGAGAATCAAGAGCCACTTCACAAAGTTCCTTCTGGTGGTTCTTCTCCTTACCTTAGAGCCAAACATGCCCAGGTGTTGATTTTACTCCGATTACTGTTTGATAATTTAGGGTTTTACGTCTCTGATTAGTGTTCTTTCTTTTGAATTCCATTTTATGATCAATAAGAGAAGAAATTTGGAGTCTTGTTTTAAGGCATCAAGATTTCAGTGAATTGTCTTGGTTTATGAATGTTTTGTTCTTGATATGGATTATCTTTCAAGAACAGTTGATTTGTGAAGACCCGGATCAAGCTATCTCATTGTTTTGGGCTGCGATAAATGCTGGAGATCGGGTCGATAACGCATTGAAGGACATGGCATTTGTTATGGAACAGTTAGACCGATCCGATGAAGGAATCGAAGCGATCAAATCTTTTCGATATCTTTGCCCTTTTGAATCCCAAGATTCCATTGATAACTTGCTACTTGAACTCTACAAGGTAAAAAACTTTGTTAATCTGATGTCTAGTTGAAGCTGCTTCTATTCTCAGTGTGTCACCTTTATATGTAACTTTGATGGATTTGGGTTTTGCAGAAGTCAGGGAGGATCCAAGAGGAAGCTGAGCTGCTTGAACACAAACTGAAAAACCTCGAACAAGGCTCGACCTTTGGTGGTGGAATCACAATAGCGAAAAGAAGCCACAGGAAACAGATCAACATGACAATCGAGCAAGAGAAAGCGCGGTAAGAAGTTTGTGCATCTCATATTCTCGCTTTATACAGTAAGAGTGGTTTCTCTGACTTTATAGCTGTTTTGGTTGTTTAGGATTCTAGGGAACTTAGCTTGGGTTCACTTGCAGCTTCATAACTATGGAATAGCAGAGCAGTATTACAGGTTAGTGAAACACTGTCAGTCCCATGAAAGCATATTACTGTTATCATTGCATTAACAAGTAAAATGGGGTAGGAATGCTTTGTCTTTGGAGACTGACAATAACAAGCTGTGCAATCTTGCGATCTGCTTGATGCGTATGGATAGAATTCCGGAAGCTAAGTCTCTGCTTGAGGATGTAAGACAGTCTCTAGAAAATCAATGGAAGGACGAATCGTTTTACAAGTCTTTTGAACGGGCTACCGAGATGTTAGCAGAACGAGAACGGGCCACAGTCGTGGATAATCCAGAAGGGCTTACGACAAGTAGCTCTTCAGATAACTTCTCCTCTAGCTGTTCTTTTGTGAGTTGGATGAAGGAAAAGCAGGCTGTAGCTGGAACCAGTCCTGAACCAGGGAACATGAACAAGAAGAACGCACACGTTTCCTTTGAAACGGTTGAACAAAAATCGCCAGGTCTGATTACAAAACCTCGCGGATGTAAATGGGACAATGAGGAAGTCCATCAAGGAACAGGGATAATGAGAGTGACAATTGGTGCTGCCCGAAGGCTAAGGTTTGGGAAACCTTTTGAAGATGAACATAACAAGAAGATGTCAGAATCAGCAGCCTCGGTTACTAATTACAAAGATCACTTAAACGGGAAGAAGTTGGATCAGAATTTGATTGAAGATCTCCATCAATTCATCAGTGGCAATGGACTTCCCATGACAAGCAAAGCAAGGAAGCTGTGTGCAGATTTAGTCAGAGAAAAAGAAGAGAGTGAAAAAGGATATCAAAGAAATGCTTCAGAATCTTCAGCTTACGCTCAGATTATGGATATTGGTCGAAGAAGTGATATATAGGCTTAACACTACAGTACCAAATGATATATAGGCTTAACGATTTTTGCTACATGAACATCGTGACAAAGTAGGGCGATGCAGAAATATACCTTTCGTGTATGGGATTTAATAATTTGCCCCTTTGGCTCTATGAAATGAATGAAATAGCTCAGCGAAAAGGAGACACAAAACTTGAAAGAAAGAAACAAATATTTTTTCACTGACAAAACAATAAGCAATACACGCAAAAGTTTAAACACTCCAAAATGAAATTGGGTTTCA